AAGCGGTTAGGATAGATATATAGTTGCATTCTCTTAATGAATAGAATGATTTGTTCTAATGGTGTTTGTAAATAGGATCTCAAGTCCGCATTTTGTACAGCAATTAACCACTAAGAAGAATATATGCAGTGTGTTATTTGTTGAAACTGTACTTCCGATTTGATTTGAAACTGTCTCATTGCTGTTTATCAATAAAATTTTGGAAAAAAAGAAATAGTACTGTAAAGATGTGCATTTCTGTCAAATGATTCACAGGTGTAGTACAACTTTGATAAGCTCTAGCTAAGAATTCTTTTGTATACACTGAACAGTTTAAATTCACAATATATGTACTCTATATTCCCACCAATACTGCACAAACATTTTCTTTCTCCACATCTTGAATACTAGTTATCTTTTTTATTGATAAAGCCATTCAAACAGACATGGCTGTGATTTTACCTTGTATTTCTCTGATTATTGATGTTGAATGTATTTTAAGAAAACAATGTGGAGACTCCTCACAAATTAGACAGAACTATCATATGGTCTAACAATCCCACTTGTGGTTATATATCTAAAGAAAGTGCAATTATTGTATTTAAGAGATACCTATTCTCAGAATACAGTACCTAAGAGATAACTGTATTGTTGATTGCAGCACTATTCACAATAGTTGAGATCAACCTGTGTGTCCATTAACAGATGAATGGGTAAAGAAATGTGGTAAAAGACTGGGGATGTATCTCAGTGGTAGAGTGCTTGCCTAGCAAGCACAAGGCTCTGAGTTCAACTCCCAGTATTCCCCAAAAGTGAAAATATACACACAATGTGATACTATTCAGCCTTAAGAAAGTAAATCCTGACATGTGCCACCCCATGTGTTCAGAGGATATGCTACAGGAAATAATCCAGACACATGTTATATCTTACTGTTTCTTTTTTCTCCTTTTCCTCCCCTCCCTTCAACCCCTCTTCCCTTCCTTATTTACAAAGCTTCATTTTCAGTTTTTTCTATCCTCTCTTTTGTCCCTTCCTTCCTTCCTTCCTTCCTTCCTTCCTTCCTTCCTTCCTTCCTTCCTTCCTTCTCCTCTCTCCTATCCCATGTCCTCTCAATTCTACCTCAGTAAAAATGATTAAAAAGTATGATGAAAGTTAAAATACTTAACATGAACATAGAATAACAATTAACAGAGGTTGGGATGGGAGGCAGATAAAGGGAGGTTGGATTTGATCAGTGTATATGTACAAAAATATCACACCGAACCACAGTAATATGCACATTTGATACATTAATCAAAAATAAGATATAATGAAAAATGGAAAAATTAGGTTTTTCAAAGTAAAATGTACTTGATAAATTTCCTTTTAGAAATTTTTGCTTTATTTGTAAAGAAAGACTTTTAATTATAAGCTTATGAGTTTATATAAATTAGATCTTATATAAAAAGGGATGGGAATATGGTTATTTTTGCATAATAGGCATAATAATTGAATGAGGATTAATCAGTCAATACTAAAACATTAATATGACACAAATTTGCATCAAATCCATGGCTGACTAACATTCCTAGAGTCTAAGAAAATCAGTCTTATTTTTTAGGCTTTTCTTCAATCTGTTCCCAACCTTTACTTGTTCTTATTGCCTTCTGGAGCCTCCAGTTGAACTTGTCTATAACCTTCACATGCTCTTTTCCCTACCAAACTAAAATTAATGTAATCAACTACCTCTGTACATGAGCTCCTTTGCAACTTGATGCTATGACAGAGATGGAACAAGTTAGGGCCAAATCCCAGAATCAGAAGCCATTCCAGTCCAAGTCTTCCCTGGTTCTCATCCTACTGAATGAATCTCACCTACATTATGACATCCAATCAACTTCACAGAGAAGTTTATAGATGCCTTGTCCTGGAAATGCACACATCACTTATATACACAGGCCAGAAACAGTCATATACACAAGAGTAAAGGTTTCGAGGAAAGGCAGGAAGAGTGCACAGGACTCTATTTCAACTTTTGTCAAGTACTTTATTTCATTGTCTACTTTTATGGACAAGTAAACTAAGACTCAGAGAGGGAAAGATATTTGCCCAATGACACACCAGTGGAAAAAGGTAGAAATGGAAGCTAGGACTTCTTGCCAACGCAAACAACAGTCTCATTAGAAAGATGTCGGAGACTCACAGAAGCAGAGGAAAACTGGAAAAGGTACTTGACCTATTTTATTTTTATTTATTTATTTTTTTTTTGTGGAACCGGGGATTGAACTCAGACCCTTGCGCTTGCCAAGGAAGCGCTTATCCTATTGAGCCATCTCCCCGGCCCTGGAAAAGGTACTTGAGAAGGATATGCATGTATGAGAAAGGTACTTCACTCTCAAAGCCCTGTCTCTGTGATAGGAACTGAATAGTAACAGTCTGATCAGAATTCTACCTTGAGGATAAGAATCATATAAATCATATTTTAAACTGTGTCAATCACTTAAGTTTTCAGATCCAAGGAAAGAACACATAATTGACTAAGAATAAATTGCATGCCTGCCCCTTGACAATACCAGGGGGAATATGGTGTGCTGTTTCAATGGGTGTATACAAACAAATGAACATGTCATCCTACAAAGACTACATTTTGGTTATTAATATATAAAAAAATCAACACAAACCGAATGTCTAAAAGAACACCGATTTTTAATCTCATACTTACTGTAGTTCAGAAGTCCAGATATGGCTTGGTTTCAGGTTCTCTGTTCAGGCAAGACTGAAATTAAGGTGTAGGTAAGTCTACATTTCTTTCTGGACCACAAGGTATGAAACTATTTCCATTTTCATTGAAATTGTTGGCATAGCTCCCCTACAGCTGGAGTTCTGAGGTGCTGGTTTCTCTGCTGGCTATCAGCTGGAGGCCTCATTTAGCTCACAGAGCCTATCCATGTTTTTTTTTTCTCCTCCAAAGCTGCAAAACTGAATTCATCTATCTGAATGAGGAAGCCATGAACACACACCAGTAGAAACCTGAAGTAGGTGGCACGTTATGTAGCCAAGTTGGCTATGAACATACAATGAAAGCATCCTTCCCCCACGGAAAGGCCACCTAGCCCCACAGATCCCAAGTGGGATCAATCAGAACAATCATCACCCAGAAAAGCAGGAATCACAGTCCTGTCCTGAGCCACCAGAGACAGGCCTAGTACAATCCCTGCCATAAGCTTCAAGAGATTCTCCCAGGCCTGCTTGAGAAGAGTCATGATCCAGACTGGCTCTTAGAAAGGTTCCTTATAGTAAGAACAAGCTGGAGCCCTACATTACTCCTTCCAATCAAAGGCTTTCTCTTCCCAGAATATAGACATAACCCAGGAACCCGTGGAAGCTCTGGACACTTACTTTGCCCTTTATTGAGCCCTTCCTAAGAGGTAACATTGCCTTTGACCTTACATCTTCTCTACCCCAGATGCTCTTCCCTCCATCCTTGTCCACATGTTTGGATTAACACCAAGCTCCTAAAGAATTCAGAGTCTAAGCCTAATTTCAGCCTCAATGGGACAGTCTTAACTTCTAGGATAGATCTTAGTAGTTTAGGCCAACTCCTTGTTCGTAGTCCTAGCCAAAGGCTGTCTAGCTCTGCATGGAGCTCTGCCTTACTTTAATTAATCCTCATTCAGCAGAAACAAAAGCTCCTATTTCACCCTGCAGAAGAGGACACTATGAGGCCTTCTTCACTCTGAAAGCCCTGTCTCTGTGATGACGCCCTGGTCCTGTGGGAGCAAATCACTGTAAGGCTTTCCTAGAGGGATAGGTTCTCATGCTGTACTTCCAGGGTTAGGGCAATGTGGTGAGGAGTACATTTTGTTTCTCACAGAGCTTTGGCGTCTAGCTTACAAATGTTTAGTCTTACTCTTGCATCTATCTTGGAGTTATTTCATTTGCCACATGGACAATACAACCAATACCTTTGGCTCTCCTCTTCAACTCTACTCTCTGAACCTTGTCATCACCTGGAATTCTGCCTCTTCAGTCTTCTTAAATGCAACTACCTGAGCATCCACCTACCTATACCTTCCTTCGTTATGCTATTTCTCAGTGTGAGGCATTTCAGAATATGCAGCAGTGTGTCTGTCACATGTGAGCTACTTACATGAAACTTTCTGAATAAACCATACTAGTTCTTGTATCTCATTAACACTTGTGTTCACCCTCTTTTGGGCCCAATCTGTTAGCTGGATCTATCCACATTTTCACCTGTTGAATGCTGATCTGCCCTTCAGGATAGAGCCAATGTCTTTTCCTACTACATGTGCTAACAGAAGACAGGGATGCACATCTAATTTACTTTGCTGTTTCAACATTTATTTCTGATACCAAAACTTGGCAGCACACAAGGGAAAAAAAGCAACAGACAGTAACAATAAATGTATTGATCTTGCATGCCACTTTTAGTCAACAGGATGTGGCTCTCTATACAGCTGTATTTGGAAGAAATCTGAGGCTTCAGCCTCACTCAGGGCAAGGACTATTGCAACTGATGTGCAGTACCTGTGAATATAAGAAAAAGTAAAAACTCAATGATATATATTATCAAATAGTAAGGAATATAAATACCAAGCACTGTTTTCCTATACTTCCCTCATCTCCCCACCATAGGTTTCAATGACTCCTAGCTCATGCACATAAATGCAACCTCACCAACTCTATATCCCCTAATCTACCCAATCCAAAGTGATATACCTGCCCAATGCCTCACTCGACCCAGAAGAAACCAATGGCACTGAAGTTGGCAGCGAAGTTGGCAGTGGGTGTACCAGCAGGACCAATAATAGGACCAGTGAAGGTTTGGGGAAATCTGGAGCGAGCATTCTGGTGGTATCTGGCCCAGAAGGTAAATGGAATTCTGGACCAGGGATCCCCCAAATCTCCTTCTTCATCCCAAGTCAGCAGCTCAAACTCAATGTCATCCCAGCTCCAGGGCCCAGATACAGCCTCATCTCCAATGCCCATGCGGGTTCTTGCTTCAGCTCGGGCTTCAGCCTCAGCGGAAGCAGCATCGAGAGCCTCCAAGGCCTCATCTGCAGCCTCCATGAACTGGGCAGTCCAGTCACGAGGGTCTCTCTTCTGAACCTAAGATGAGAAAGAAAAATCAAAAACCTATTAAATAACTGCCAAGATATAGAATCAAAGCATTCGCCAGCAGATGAACAGATAATGAAAATGTGGTATACATACACAATGGAGGGGCTGGGGATATAGCTCAGTGGCGTAAGAGCCTGACTGATAAGCACAAGGTCCTAGGTTTGATCCCCAGTACCGAGAAAAAAAAAGCTGCAGACACAATGGAATATTACTCATCCTTTAAAAAGAAGGAAATCCTGTCATTTGTGACAATCTGAATGAAGTTGGAGGACACATTGTGGTATTATGTAGACAAACTAAAAACAGAGATACACTGTTTGGTCTCACTTATATGTGCAATATGGAAAAGGTCAAACTCATAATAGAGCAGAATGATGGTTGCTGGGGCCTAAGAAGGGTGGGACAGTTAAGAGCCCCAAAGTTTCAATTAGATAGCATGAATAAATCTGTATTTCTACTGTATAGGATGATGACTGTAGTTAGTGATTATGTAGTGCATACTTGAAAATCACTGAGAGTTGGCTTTAAGTATCATAGTTACTTAACTTGATTTAATCATTCCATAATATATACACATATATTATCAAAACATGCACAATTCTTTTCAGTCAAAAATAAAGAAAAAAATTAAAAATCAGAAAAAGATCATGCATACTTTGTAAATATGCACAATTTTTGGTCAATTATGCTTTAGTAAAGCCAGAAATGAGAAAACTATTTTAAAAATTTGAAAAAGGAAAAAAAAACACATAATAGTATTAATACATATAAAGTACCTAATATACATCAAACACTTTAGTTTGTATTATTGCATATAATGACAACAACATATTTCCAATTTAATTCCTTTTCTGCACCTTTGCCAGTTATCACTTATGGAGCAGTTCCATTACCTCTGCAATGAATCTCAGCACTTTCATTTTGCTAGTCTCATGATAGGAACGGAGCCCCCAGAGGAACTCGTACTCAGGAGGGTTGCTGTTGGGCACTCGTCTGTAGTCCAGATATCTGAAAGAGCAAAAATGCTGTATTACTATTTAGGCAGAGTGGTAGTCCCATCTGCAGATGCATAATTTTGAAAATTTCTCATTTCATATAGGAATTATACTCCAGACTCATGCCTAACCACAATCAGGATACTATAGCCTTTAATAAGCAGACTTCTGAATTTCTGTGTCAGTGATTCTACATCAGGCAATCATTTAGAGCTCCAAGGGAGGCTTGTGTTAGGTCACAGAAAAGACAAGACTAATTGCACCCCTTCTGCCAAGGCTCTAGAGCTCCAGATTCTTACAGTCTTGTCCAGGAGCCACAGGCTCACTGCCACGATTACACCACAGAGTAAAAGCCTCTACTTGGCCTAGCCTTGGGAATGTCTGCCATGAAGACAGTGGGTATGCTTTAGTTACTTCAATAAGATAGCTATAAAATAGAAAAACTCAACCTAAAGGAATACTTGCAATAAGCACTCTTGAGCTGCTGTGAGTCCACAAACAGGTATAGTTTAAGAAATAAGCTTCAGAAGGGCTTTTTAAGGCAGACCAACAGACAGAATGAGACCCAGAAAAAGTTTCTTAGGTATCACTTACTTCTGCTTTACAAACTCGTAAGTAAGAAGTTTTCTCAGATCTCCAAGGAGAGGATGTCTCACCCTGATAGTAACGAAAAAGAGAGAAAGAAAGACACACTATGACTTTGTCAAAAGAAAAGCAGAGAGCTTTCTAGCACAAAATCAGAGATAAAAAATGAGGCACAGAGTTCAGGGCTACTTCCCTCTTCCACCTAGGTCACATCCCTGGCTCTGGACCCCCCTAAACCAAACCCACAGACCACCAAGCTAATGCAATCCTGGAGCCACTCTCTGTTGCTAAAGCATGATTGAAGAATAGGTAAGAGATGATAGACCCTCATCATACCCAGGACGCAGACCCATCTTGCGTAGTGCCTCCCAGAGGACAGCTGCAATGGGAAGCAAGAGAGAAAACATAGAAAATGAACACAGAAATCAGGCTATGGGCAACCCCCAACCTGATGTCCAGCCACTTACCCTCACTGGCACGGTTGCCATTCATGAAGATGACACCCAAAATTACTAAGAGGAGACCTAGCTTGGGTGTGTCTTTGGTCCTAAAGGAGGATAAAATGAATATATTCTCATCAGCCATTTGCATGATATACCTCAATCAGGTCACCCATCTAACATCCCAATATTTCTCAGCTGGGGGAGAAATAATACAGGGAGAGAATTACACCCGACCTCTGCTCATCACAAACTATGTAACACTGAACCATGGACCCCGACCTATTTGAAACACTCAGGATGGGGGAAAGGGTGATGGACATCACTGAGAAAGACCATGTTCCAACTCCTTTCCCATCTTACGTTCCCAGTATGCCAGCCAGGGACTCTGGGGTACTGATGAGAATGTATAGGTGTTCTTCCTTGTCAATTTCTTTCAGTTGTATCCCAAATTTCTATAGCAATCCAAAAAAGAAATACAAGATTTAGCATAGGCAGTACCCATAAGCAGTCACTCACTTCCCTCTGAGACTTATCTTAAACTCTCAGCAGAAATTTCACAAATCTTCAAAATCAAGATCATTCTCATCTGTCAGGGCTGCCTTTCTCACCTTCTCCAGGACAAAGCATGCGCGTTCAATAATTTCTGGATAAACATCAGCGTATTCTCGGATAATATCCCTCAGCATTTCTGTAGGAGAGAGGAGGGAAGACCTAGGTTGAGTGAGTGAATGCCTGGCCACTTTGCAAACCTTGCTAAGGACAATAAGCAAAGGTCTTCAAGCATGGGAAAGAAGGAACCAGCTATGGAAGCCAGAATGAAAAGGGACACAGCATAAGCAAAGGTATACCCAAGGAAAATAGGGAGGGGAAAGGCAGAATTTGGGGAAGGGATATTAGCTGCCTACCTGAGCGCCTGATGGGCACCTTTGTGTAGTCTTTAAGCATCAGGTACTTGACTAACTTATTTGCCTGGGAGAGAAGGAACTCATTTAAATTATAATATATATACAGAAAAATGTAGTTTATTATAAATGTATGGACAACAAAAGAGAAACAAAAAAGAGACAAGTAGGGGAGTCATAGCTCTTACTCTTTCTTGAAGAAGGGCGACATCTCGGGGTTGTGGGGCACCCAGGTTCTGTGAGGCATGTGAGTTGGGGGTGGGTCGGAGGTTAGGCGAGGGTCGCAGGTTCTGCCAGTCAGGTGGAACTGGCCAATCTGCATGGATCCAGTCAGGTGGAAGTGGCCATTCAGGGGGAAGTGGCCAATCATGTGGCATTGGCCAGTCAGGAGGTAATGGCCAATTAGAAGGGCCCTGCCAGCCTGGAGGGCCCTGCCAGCCTGGTGTGTTCTGCCATCCAGGTGGAACATGCCATCCAGGTGGATTCTGCCAAGCCACTGGGTTTGGCCAGACAACTGGGCCAGGCCAAACAATGGGGCTTGGCCAGAAAACTGCACCGGGCCAAACAATGGGGTTTGGCCAGATCACTGGATTCTGCCATACAACTGGGTTCTGCCAGGATGGTGGGGGCTGCCTAGCTGGGAGGTTATGACGTGTTGGTGGGGTGTGTCTGGCTGTCTGGTTTTGCCAACCAGATGGGTTCTGCCAAGCCAACGGGGTCTGCCAGAGCACATTAGGGGGTGCACCAGGTGGGCTCTGAGTAGTCACTGGAACTGATGCAGACCTCCAGGTCCCAGCAGCCAGTGGAGCCGGCCTCTGATCAACACTGGTGCTCTCTTCTACATTCAAATTTTTCATCTGGAACATCAGACAAAAGAAACATCCAGGGTCACTAGTTGGTTCTTTGCTTGGAATACCAAGGTAGAGAAATTCTCCAAAATGCTCATCTGCAGTGACAGTCTGATCACTGGTCACCTTGAGTTACGTGCTTATCTTTCACTATCTTCTAGGCAGAAAATTCATCTCAAAACCAGGCCAAGAGGAACCCATGGGTGGTACCTGTGGCTTTTCCTCTTCCTAAGTCTACTAGTGGCTCTACTTATATCACCATGAACAAATCACTCAAGTCATTTTTCTCTGTATGGAACTCAATTTCCCTCTATGTAAAACTTAGACTTATCATCCTTAGCAAATAAGATTTAGTAATATGTAAAACTCAAGATCTAACACATGATAGTTGCTACTAAAATGTGAAATGAATTATACACAGGTTTATCATCTGTGTGCATTCACTGTCTTATCAGTTTGTGAATACTTAGCCAATACAAATAAAGGTTCACCTCAAGATCCTCTCCTGCCTCCTCTACTGCCTAGGTGGGTATAGTAGTTGCATGTATTTTCTTTCATTTAGAAAAGAATGAGAAAGCCTGAAGAAAAATGAAGCTAGCAGGGATCTCACCTTGCGGGTCCTCTTGCCCCGAATAATAGTCCGGGACTCCAAATTTTGAGCCATGGAACCATCTGCTGATGTCTGCGCAGCTGCACCGTCAGGTTCAAAGACACTTGGGTTGGTTTCTGTGTCTGCCTGGGAAGTGGCCATTTTGGCCCAATTTACATTCTGACTGTGGGTCTGGATATCATTCCAGGCCTTGAAGGCAGTTTTAGGCTGATTAATGACCATCTCATTTGCATTAGAGGACTGAGAGACACTACTGTTGGGATTTGGGCCCAGCTTTGTAGTAACATCCTGTGCCTTAAATAAAGCAATCTCAGACTTACTAGTAGCCAATTCACTTGTGGCTGTTGCCTTAGAAAAACCACAGGCAGCATTTGGGCCCTTTAGAGGGGCATTCTGGAGCTTAAAGGCTGCCATGGGTTGGGTATTGGCTATCTCCGTGGCATTATGTGCCTTAGAGAAATCATAGCCACCATTTGGGTCTTTTTCAGTGGCATTCTGAGCTTTAAAGGGTGTTTCGGGCCTTGTGACAGCTGCTGAAACTTGAACATCAGCCATCTCATTGGCAGTTTGGGTCTGTGAACACTGGGGACTAGCATTCTGCCCACTGGCAGCTGCAGTGGCCTGGCTGGCAGGTGGAGCTTCTGAGATCTGGATCGCCTCCATCAAGGTCTGCATAAGTAAGGTGCGGTCTTCTACAGAGGCTTCAGCCTGTAAATACAGCGGGGAGGGGGGAATAAATCTCTGGACTTCAGAAGCTAGAGCAGGAAAGGTGCAGCACAGCAGGAGAGCTGCAGATAGTGATTGGTGCAAACCGAGAAGGTCCCAAAAGAAGACCTACGGGGCAGACAAGGGTTCAAGCGAGGTGGGGTGGGTATAAACCATGCTCATGGAGGATGAGGGGAGGGGCAAGAAAGATGTGGCAGTTTAAGGAACAGATAAGAACTGGAGCAGGGTGAGAGCACTGAAAGAGAAGTGAGCTTTGGGTAGAGCCAATGAGGTTTACTGTGGGAACTCAGGATTCGAGGTGGAGGGGGGGCTCGCACAGGATAAGGAATGCAGGAGAAAGGGAGGATGGAGTGAGGAGGTTGGGAAAGGGGGCAACAGACTGCTCCAAACCAGTGGGGACTGTGGAAAAAAATGGTTCCTTATCAAGCCGCATTCTCTAGGCAAATTGCCGACTACTAAACAGGGTCTCTCCTCTCTCTAAGCAGGGACTGATGGTTGAAAAGAGACACAATTCCCCCCTTCGGTAAAAGCTGAAATTTTTATTAAAAAGACCTGAAGTCTAGGCAACAGAGGGGGAAATCCGAGGGACTGGGCAGCCAAAGAGGTCTGAGGGCGGGGGGTACATCTGCTAGGGAAATGTTGGGGGCGGGGAGCAAAGATCTCACCTGGAAGCCGTGGAGCCCCGCACCACACTCCATTTTCTGAGCCATAGCTCCGGTCCCTCGGGGTACAGCGGAGCCTAGGGGTTGTGGCAGAGGAGCTAGGTGTTACATTAGAGATACATACAGGAGCCTAACTGCTGTCTCTGTGGGGGGGGGGGG